GGGCTAGCTAACTTTCCATGTGAATCGTCTCTCGTGGTTGCAGAGGGCATCTTCCCAAAGGACGTCCAGCTTGAAACTTTGTGTCGCCTTGCTCCAGCGACATGATGGGAAACTCGCAACCAAAAACTGTCCGCTTATATGGCTAGCCCGGAGGATCTGTGGCAGCCACTCGCATAAACTTCTCGGAACTCGTCCGGGTAAGGCTCAAAAGCTCTTTCCTTTCTTGTCAATCGCTTCGCTTCCTTCCCGGCGCTGATCCACAGTGCTTTTGGTGCTTTTGTGTAGGTCCCGAGAAGATCTAGAAAAACAAGGAATGGGAACTTCTGCGAATGGTGTCGGTGGTGGTTCTGCGATTCTTCTCTGGATTTCGGTGTTGACAATCCTCCTCGGAGCTGCTGCCACTGTTGCCGCGAGGTCCACACTGGTCGGAGCAGCCACCGAAATGAAGAACGAGTACTTCCACCATCCTCCACTCGAGTTTCCAAAGCCGCCACCGTTCGAGTTCAAAGAACCTCCGTATGAGCTGCCCAAGCCTCCGCCATTCTCGTACAAGGAGCCACCGTTTGATCTTCCAAAGCCACCGCCATTCTCGTACAATGAGCCAGAGTTTACTCTTCCAAAGCCTCCGCCATTCTCATACAAAGAGCCACCGTTCGATCTTCCAAAGCCGCCACCATTCTCGTACAAAGAGCCACCATTGGATCTTCCCAAGCCGCCGCCAATCTCCTACAAAGAACCACCGTTCGATCTTCCAAAGCCGCCGCCGTTCTCGTACAAAGAGCCACCATTGGATCTTCCCAAGCCGCCGCCAATTTCGTACGAGGCTCCATTTCACCACCACTAGCATGGTAAATAGTAAAAACTGTACTTTCTGTGTGTAAATCTCAAAGAACGTTTATAATTTAAAAAAGCGATTAGGGCTCTTGGCGCGATGGCTATGGCGTTGGCAATGGCGCTCACGGCGTCTCCTTCGTCTCACCTCAAATTCCAGCTCTCCAGGGGACCGGCATTTCATTCCTTTCGCGTCAGCTACGCTAATGCGGCTGCCGCTCCAGCGCCTTGGGCGAGAGAAGCAGTGTCTCGTCGTCCCGATCGGGGAAGAATTGGAGCGACTGGAAATCGCAAAGGAAATGCTCCTGATGGGGACAATGAGGTAAGCTACACAAAGATAGTGCTCGAATTCTTGTCGTTTCTCTTCTCGTAGTCTACAATCTTTGGTTTGTGTAGAGCCTAGCGTTGAAAATTCTCCGGCTTGATGGGTGGGACGTTCCGTGGGGGTATGGAGTGACAACGCTGGGATTGCTGGGTTGGCTGGTCAGGTCGGTAGAAATCAAAGCTTGTTCCTGATTGCTTTTGTTGATCGATGACACTACAAGCGCAGCTTTTTTGTGACAGGCTTGGCTACGGCAGTGCTCGGTCATAATCTGGGGATCGATAGAAGAGAAATCCTCGACATGGACGAACAAGCTGCGTTCATACTTTTCAGCCAAGTGTAAGGAGTTAGAAAAGTTGCGATCAATCTTTCATGAAACTTGGCCTGTGAAGTTTGCAGACAATTACAGGACTTGGCACCATCAATCTCGTTACAACCAAGTACCAGCCTTTGCCTTCCGACATGTTCGTGTATGGTATGCTTTTATCGTTTCTCTCCTTCGTAGTTACGCTTAACACGACTTTAGATTTTAGAAAACCATTTGATTTGCAGCGAGGATGGCTGCTTTGGTCTGGAATTGGCATACTTTGCGCTGGTGGAGCTGTGGTTCTAACCAGTATCATCGTTTCATCTGTTAATGGTGAACTGCCACCACGGGAGGTTGGTTCTTGGTTGCTATATCCCAATGCACAATTGATTTCGGTTTTTATCTTTGTCAGGACAACGATGCGCTATCACAGTTGCTTCCGCTCATTGGTGTCTCGCCATTAAGGTTAGCAACGAGGTTTCTCAGTTGGATGTGTTGTGATTGATTCGCTGGTCATTTTTGTAGCACAGCGTCATTGATTGTTGTGACCGGTGCTTTGGCTCCACTGCTAGAAGAGACTGTTTTCCGCGGCTTTCTCCTGACATCTCTAACTAAGAGGTGAAAAACTGTGCTTTTACACGATCTTACACTACTGGATTCTCAGGTTGCCAGTTCCAGTTGCCGTGGTTTTGAGCGCCGCTGCGTTTGCTCTCGCTCATCTAACTCCGGGAGAATTTCCACAGCTCTTTGCGTTGGGTAAGAAATCAAGTGGATTGCCATTGCTGACACTTCCCACACAGGCATTGTCATCGGTTTTGCGTACTCTAAGACACACAACATGCTCACGCCAATTCTAATCCACGCGACCTGGAATTCTGGAGTGGTGGTAGCGCTCACAGCACTCAGTGTAAGTAGCACCAGCCTTTTTTCTTGATCTTCCAACAGAGTTGTTTGGATGGCAGTTTCAAGGATACGATTTGAGCCAAGTGCTCTCACTTATCTTAATGGGATCATAATTAAACCTTAAATGGCATCATTTGAATTTTAGGGCTACGTTTTCCCGCCAATTGGTTGGGGTTAGGGTTCTAAAGAGATTTTGGCGATGGAGCAGCAGCAGCGAATGCGCAAGGCGCAGCTGAAGTTCAAGCTCCGGGGACTAACCCTCTCGGTGGATGCGCTCAAGGCTGTTCTTGGCTTCCTAGATGAGCAATACTTGCCGGACGAGGAGGCGCTCCAGCATCTTCTGGCCGAGGTCGACAAAATCTCCCGTGAGTTGTTCTTCTTTTTGCTAGCGGCCTGTCTCATAGATGATTTCAGTGAAGAGCAATGTGCTGTCCAAGGAAGCAGCGCTGGAACTCATTTCAGCGGCCACAGGCGTGACTAGCAGCCAGCAGAATGCTCTTCTTGTTGTCGATGCCTTCAAGCTTCCAAGATTTTGCTACGATCCAATACGAAAAATGTTCTACAGGTAACGATCTCTCGCTTGGATTTCTTAGTTTTCTCGCTGTCACTGGGTTCTTTTTTCTTTTCTTTTTCGAAACTCCTTTTGTACGCTTCTACAGGTATAACAAAACACCTTCCGTTCACGGTGATGCTCGATCCAAATCTGCTCTTTACAAAGATAGGCTCCAATTGCTACATCAACGTCTTATCAGAGATAGACACTTTGCAAAGCCTGCATTTGACATGGATGGAAGCCGATCGGGGACTTGTGAGGTTTGCTTATTTTTCTTTCTTTCTTTTCTTCTACGTCTTTTCTTAAAACGCTCAATGCAGTTGTCGTCGTTGCAATCGCTGCTAGGATGCATTGGCAGAAGATGGGTTATGGGGATCGTCTCCCAACTGGAAGACGGCCGCTATTATTTGGAAGACTTGTCTGCTACAATACCGATTGATCTTTCGCAAGCTATATCCTTTGGAAAGTTTTGTTTGTACGATAAGCAGAGCTTTTGTTTTTTTTAACTTGCAATTTCGCACAAGATCACGTCAGGATTTCTAACGGAGAACTGCATAATTGTTGCGGAAGGATTGCTGCAAGCAAACGGCATTTTTCAGGTTCGTTCCTTGTTTTAAAAGACTCACTTCCTGAAGCGCAACTTTCGACAGATCTCTACGTGTGGCTTCCCTCCATTGGAAGGAAGAAACATCTCGTTAAGTGTTACGGCTGGGCTCGACTTCTTCGGCGCAGGAGCGCTTTCTTACGATGAGATCGTATCCTTTTTTTGCTTGATTCCTTCTTTGTGTCCTTAATGGCTGTTTGTAGAGCAGACTAGAAGTGCTGGAACGCAAAGCTGTTAACGACATGTTTGTTGTTATCTCTGACGTGTGGCTGGACGATGAACAGGTAACGTATTTTCCTGCCCAAATTTCTCACATACTCTTCTGTTTGTTGGTATCCAGACTATGCGAAATCTTGAGGTCGTGCTGGATGGATTTGAAAACGTTGACGTTGTGCCATCAGTCTTTATACTCATGGGAAATTTTTTGTCACGCCCTTGCAATCTCTCTTTCCATAGCTTTGGGGAGCTTCGGTACTTTCAAGTTTTAAACATAAGCTTTGCTCTTCATGTGCTACATTGTTTGGCAGTATAGTTCGCACTTTGATAAGCTCGGCACATTAATCGCGTCACATACTCGGATCAGCTCGACCAGCAAGTTTGTCCTAATCCCGGGTCCTGAAGATCCAGGTATCGTTTTGTTTTGTATGACTTCCTGGTTTGCTAACTCAATTGTCCAGGCCCGAGTAGCGTTCTTCCGAGGCCTGCCTTGCCGAGCTATTTCACAAAGGAGCTGGCCAAGCACGTCCCCAATGTGACCTTTGCAAGTAATCCATGCAGGTAACTCTTTGTGTAATGCTGACTTTAGGATAACGAGTATCACGCAGGATTCGCTTCTTCTCGCAGGAGATAGTTCTCTTCAGGGAGAACTTGCTGTACCGCATGAGAAGGCTATGCATTGTTACACCGTCAGACGAGGAGACAACAGAGCCATTTGAGCACGTAAGTCCCCTTTGCCATCGTTTTTCCTGCTCCATAAACTCCATTTCTTGCAGCTTGTAGCGACAATCACACATCAAAGTCACCTGTGTCCTCTACCACTAACTTCGCAGCCCATTGTCTGGGAGTATGATCACGCCATGCGGCTCTATCCAACGCCTCACACTGTAAGTGTGTTGGAGGATCCTTTCCTGTTCGTCCTTGATCTATGCTCCCAATCTTTCCAGATTGTTCTAGGCGACCGCACGGAGCAAAAGCTTTTCAAGTATATGGGCGTCACGGCCTTTAGTCCGGGATCGTTCTCGGTGGATGGAACTTTTGCTGCCTACAGGCCAGCGACTCAAGAAGTAGAACTCTCTTCACTGTAAAACTAATGCTATGATCTTCCTCAAACTCGTTGTCTCGTATCGTTGAACACTAATTTTTGGAATTAAAATGTTAATATAAAAGAATGGTTTTAGAATATACTCAGCTCCCCTAAAATTGTTAAGGAATGGATTGGATAAATCATGGAAAAATAAGTTCCACAGTGGCGTTCTCTCGTTTATTCTCTTTAACAAAGCCCGGAGTCGTACTCTACGGCTACTATACACCTCTTTCTAGTTTATTATACGCCTTTTTCGTAGAGTCTACGGTGGCGGGTTCGAGTTCGGTGACGACGTGGCTCGAGCATGACGAGGAGCGCTACACCTTTGCTCTTCTCTCTCGCGCGGATCTTGATGCGCTAGGGCATCGATTTTCGTCGATCGCTCGCAGCGACGGTGGTATTGATCCAGCCCCAGGTGGGAGAAGCTAATGTCTAGAATACCTGAATCCTCCTCGCTCACGACCACGGCATCACATCCCTGCTGCGTGGCCTTCTTCTGGAGCTCCTCGTCGTCGTCTTCATGCTCCTCGTCTTGATCTTGATCGTGGGAAGGAGCACGGAGGCGTGTATCCGCTCACCAGGTTCGTTTTTCCACTGCTGGACAAGATCGTCAACACAAGGAGCAGCAGCACCGCTGTGAGAAGCTGCGCGATCAGACGCTTGGATTCCACAAGGAAGGATCTGAATATCCATACGTTGCTGCTCCAGCAAATCCAGCTCTTGGTGGTGATGGTGCTCGAGGAGTTTTCTCTACTATCACGCGTGCAGTCTCCTATAGCGATTCTTAAGTCTGCGACAAGTACTTGTGCGCAGTGGATGGTCAGATTGGAGGGAGCTTACGCAGATTTGCTGGTGCTAGACAAGAATCCAATAGCAGATCAACCTGGTTATGATCCGAGAAACTGTGAAGCTACCAAGATAGATGGCAGAACCGTTGAGAGCTCGACCAAGTAAGCACGTGTTTATGATGTTCTTACAGTGTGTATCTGTAGAGGATGACCCTTGAGGGAATTTAATACTCAAAGAAGGTGTTATGTATCATTCATCTAAAGTTGACGGTACGATGCTGTGTTTTTTCTTTGCGATCCTTCTCTTGAATCACGCACGACCAATATTGACGTTTTGTTGCTAGCGCTTGTGGCCATCTTGTCACAAGATGCTTCTGCCGCTGTATAAATTTTAGCTGCTAGTCTTCATACAACATCATCCTATTGCATTTCAAGCTGTAAGTTGCTCCATGCATTGCTCTTATGCTTTGCTCTCGGTAACAATTTTCTTGGTAGGAGGGATGACGTCCAACAAGGCTCCCGCACTACTTCCCGCTGAAAAATGCCGAAGGGAACTACCTGATACTGAGTGCTGTTTTGAACTACCTCCCTTTCAACTTCTTCTCCTCCAAGGAGAGAACCCGTCTTTCAACATATGAAGCTCTCTACAACTCCAAAGACAACTCGGATTCGACGGTGATGATCCGTGCTCCAAACGGTCGCTTCTGGAGGAGATTTTACGACAATTCTTCGCCAGGAACAATTCCGTCAGACCATGAAGAGCCCAAGGATCCAAGCGACAAAGCTTAT